TGATGATAATGATGATGATGGTAGTAGTCGTCTTGTCGTTGTGGCCGTTTGTAAGAGCTATACGCAATCAAAACCACCAAGACGTACATCCCACTAACAGTTATTAGCATACATGCTGAACCTGTGGATGCCCAACCCCACCCCACATCCGGTTTGGGGAATAGCTTTATAGTAACATCCTTCCGACGAGCTGTCATAGCGACAGGTGGCACAAATCGAGCCATGCTCAACCCGCACCCTCCAGAAGCAACGATCTTAAGACCTAAAAGGTCGATCTAAACTCTAAACTGTCTTAACTCGAAACCCAGACTTCGAAAACAGCCGCCAATTCGGTCACGAAACGACCGGCTCAGGCGACTCCTTTGACTCCTTTGCAGGATCTAGCAGCACTGGCTCCTGGCAGGGGTTTAAAGGTTTAGGGTTTACGGAGTTCAAAGTGCCCAGGAGCAGAGGATCTCTGTTGCCTTGCGACCTGTGCTTCAGGGTTTAGGGTTTAGGGATTGACGGTTTAGGGGTTTAGGGTTTGGGGTTCAGGGGTTTAGGGGTTTAGGGGTTTAGGGTTTCGGGTTTAGGGATTTAGGGTTTAGTTGCTTCTATGCACTCAACCCTTCATCGGTATGGCTGCATCCGTTACTTCCGCGGACCCCGGCTGGCTAGTAAAGCCGTGCTCATCACTGGATGGGCTGAACCATTCCAGATAGATAGGACGTCCCCCTTAGGCGCCCTTATGACAAGAACTCTACACTGATGGAACTTATATATATATAGAGAGAGAGAGGGGAAAAGTACTTTTTACGCATATCATGTATATTCATATACACAAACATACGTGTATAGGTCTACACACACATATACATGTATGTGTATATATATATATGTATTTATCTATCTGTTTAACTCTGCTTATCATGCTTAGTTATAAGATGCATGCACCAATCACGTTGAGATGGCAACAAAGGTTGCGACAATCTGCACCACGATTGGGGTTGTAGAGATGCGGGCCTCGATGCTATGGCTAATAGTGCTGCTGATGAAGAAGATTGTGACGATGATGTCGGGTGTAAGGTCCAGGGTTTAGGGCTTAGGGTTCAGGATGGAAACGAAAGAGCGCACCACAATCATCGCAATCATCACCACGGTACCTCCAACCACCAAGCCCGAACATTCTAAACCCTAAGCCGAAACCCCTAAACTCTAATCCCCAAACCCCAAACCCTAAACCCTAAGTCTGGGTGCCTCCGCGCATGAAAGCAGAGTCGCAGATCGGATCGGTGGTGCACTCCAAGCCCGGTTCCTGCAGGAAGATGAATTTAGTCTTGTTGGTGGTTTAGGGTTTAGGGTTGAGGGTTCAGGGTTAAGCGTGTGGGCCTTTAACTCCGAAGAACGAGCCGCTCGCCCATGTTGGGTGCACACCATTGGTATTGATTTAGGGATAAGGTCTTAGTGTTTTAGGGAGTGGGGTCGTTTTGGGGATGTGTAGCAGTGTAGCAGCTTGAAAAGGTTACGCCTTTTTCTGTTGCAAGGGTCCGTAAAAGGTTTTTTTGCACAAGCTGTAGAACACAGGGACCTGAACAAATACACAGGAGGGTATCGGAGGGTATGGTGTGGTATAACATATTCTATACTTCTTCAAGCCGCAGGGGACTTGCTACACCGGTCCTTTACATAGTCTTGCAAACCCTAAACTGTTCCCTAAACCCCACAACCCCTAAACCCGTAAATCCGGAACCCCTTTACCGGGGCTCTCGCGCGGATCAAAGGCTGGAGGGTAGTAGGTTAGCCTGGGTTGACCTGTACCGCCCAATTGTGCGTCCTAGTGATGTAGGATGTGAGAGTTTCCGAAAAATAGGGCACCTTATTCTGGGGTCCTTATAATAAGGATCCTACTATTTATTTAGGGTACTATGTTAGGATCCCCTATTTTCGGAAACCCCCATATCCAGCGCGGAGGCCCCCTCACCAGGATGCAGGCAGTGTTCAGGCCGTAGAAGCATGTTGGCGGCTCGGCTATGATAGGTTTAGGCAAGCCCTCTTAAAGTCAGAGCTAGTAATTTGTTATGGCTAAATTATAACCTTGGGGCTGATATTGAGTTGAGGGTACACCTTGACATTTCTTCTTTAAAGTGGAATCATGCTCGTTTACATTTACAGACCCGATGCTTCCGGGACGTCAACATCGAGGCAACCGCAATGATTGAACCGCGAACAACTGAGGCCCTCAGACACCGAACCCAACATACCTCAACCCTAAACACTAAACCCTAAACCCTAAACACTAAACCCTAAACCCTAAACCCTAAACCCTCAACCCTCAACCCCTACACCCTAAACCCTATTAAAACCACATGGGAGTTTCCGAAAATAGGGGACCCTAATATAGTACCCCAAATAGTAGGACCCTTACTATAAGGACCCCAAAGTAAGGTTTTCGGAAGCTCCCATATAAAGGGAAAGTTCTTGAGACTCGGATTCTTTCTCGCGGTCCTTGGTCTAGGGGTGTCGTAGTGATCCAAAAAGGCGCACCCTCATCCAGAGAACTATCCGAAAGCTTCGGAGAAGGCAGAGGGGCCTCGAGAATAATACAGTTTGGAGTTTTGGGATACGGGCAGTTCTCTAAATTAGGGAACCTTTTAGGTCCCCAGTGTAGTACGGCACCATCATAAAAAGGACCCCAAAAGGGACCCTAATTTAGAAAACTACCCGTGTATCATACTGATTCAACTCAACAAGGGCTGCAAGGAACTAAACCCTAAACCCTAAACTCTTCAGACCTCTGTGCAAACATCCACCTCCAAACAGCGGTCCTCGAGCCGGAGGCAACTGCGTCCTCAGCCTCCTCGAAGAACTCCAGGAAACTGAAACGAACTCGGGCGACGATCCTTCCGGAAAATCAACGAAAACCCCTAAAACACTCCCTACCGTAGGTTCAGGGTGAGAAAAATGCCGTAATACTTAGAATAGTATTCTGAGGCATATTACGCATTTTCACACAAAAAGCTCTGCTTGTGGCAAGGAACACTACTACTACTAGTTTTTCAGCCTTCAAGTCTTTGCTC